ATAGATAGATAGATAGATAGATAGATAGATAGATAGATAGATAGATATAGAGGATAGATGTCAGAAATGGTGTATTTGTCAGAAATGGTGTGGGGTCTCCCGCTTGGAGTGGGGGATTGGACTAGATGACCTACAAGGTCCCTTCCGATTATCTGTTAGATGATAGATAGATGATAGATAGATAGATAGATAGATAGATAGATAGATAGATAGATAGATTAATAGATTAATAGATTAATAGATTAATAGATAGATAGATTCTAATATATATATATTTTTCTATCACTATCAGGTACCGCAACTTCCACCACCAGCTCTCCTTCCTCACTTACAAACTCAGAGAGCACTGTCACTTTAAAAACCGAACCTGCCATTACACCACAATATCCGGGACAAGCAATAGTGTCAACTTCACAGGTCAGTAGAATCAACAGGGACCTTACGTCGATATAGTCAGTCCTCAACTTACAACCACATTTGGGCCTGGAATTTCTGTAGCTAAGCGAGGCAGTTGTTAAGGGAGATGCGCCCCATCTTACGACCTTTTTTTTGCCGCATTAAGTAAATCAGCCTGGTCATTAAGTGAGTCATGCAGTCATTAACTAAATCCAACCCCCCCCCCCGACAACCTTTTTTGCCTCAGAGAATTAAGTAAATCACGGACGTTAAGCGAGGCATACAGTTATTAAGTGAATCTGACTTTCCCCCAGTGGTGACCCTTTTTTGCCACAGAGAAGTAAATCACCGTTGTCATTAAGCGAGTGGTGAAGTCATTAAGTGAGTCTGACCACTCCCACCCACCCCCATCTTTTTTAGAAGCTGCCTGGGACGGGTCTCAGACAGCTGATCATTTGCATTCTTTTTAGAGAGATGTTGAGGCCACTTGGAGGTTTATCTGTGTCCTCAGGGTCACCTGAGTAAATGTTCCTGGTTTCTGTAGTCAGCAATTTTTTTTTCCTTTGGAAATCCATTCCTACTCCCACACCATTCCAAGGGGGTTCATCTCAAATTGTATAGCTAAAAGTCTGTAGAGAATTCTCAGTCATCCCAAGTCATCCAACCCTCTAAAAGGACACAAATGACCAGCTCTATGCAAGGAGTATAAATCCTTCCATTCCATCCCATTCAGAGCCGAAGAAGCTTCTTGGATGAGAAGCGAAACGTCTTCAAAGAAAAAACCAGAAAAGTCCAGTTGCATCTTTAGGATATATGAATAGTTGTAAGTTAAGGAGTACTTGAATTCTTACTTTTATGTCATTTTTTTTTCAATAGACCCATTGCAAAAAACAGCCAGATAAACATAATATATATATTTTTAAACGGTTTGCTATAAAATTGAGAAGCCTAAGCAAGTAATTAAGGGGGACTGAGACCTGTCCAATTTTACAGCTTTTTTTTTTTGCCACAGTTGTTAAAGAGAATCACTGCAACTGTTCAGTGAACCAGATTTGTTAAGCAAATCTAACTTCCCAACTCCTTGTCTATTTTTATGTGTGATGTCAGAGATATCTACAGGACACAGTCCAAAATGCCAAAATGGCACCCACTATGGCAGGGGTATCAAAAGTCACCCTGGAATGCTGCAACCATTGTAAATGCATGCCGTCTGCAAGCACCTGAATTTTGATCATGTAACTGTGGGCCCGCAATGGTTGTATCTGCGAGGACTGGTTTGAAGTCCCTTCAGTGCTGTTGTAACTTCAAACAGGCACTAAATGAAGAACAGTAAGTGAGGATGTCCTGTAACAATAGCCATAGCACTTAGACTTATATACTGCTTCACAGTGCTTTACAGCCTTCTCTAAGTGGTTTTACAGAGTCAGCCTATTGCCCCCAACAGAGTCCTCATTTTATCCACCTCAGAAGCATGGAAGGCTGAGTCGACCTTGAGCCTGGTGGGATTCGAACTGCTAAATTGCAGGCAGCCAGCAGGCAGCAGAAGTAGCCTGCAGTACTGCACTCTAGCCACTGCGCCACCGTGGCTCATAGCCAAAGCCAGAACAGTACCTAACCATTTCTTTAAGAATGTCCCATTTGTGATGGTGAATTGATTGATTTTATTGCTGACCCCTGCAGGGTCCAGGTCATTCTGAAAACGGGCTGGAGGAACCTCACCCCCAATTCAAGTATGAGCCAGAAGACTACACCTTCCCATCTGCCATGTCCCAACCATCAGGTCTAAGCGTCGGCCCCCGTCAAGACTCGTGGTGCGCCTTGGCTCTGGCCTAAACAACCAGGCCTTCTGTTCGAAAAACCGAGGAATCCCTTCTACCATCCTTGTGGACATCACTGGACAGCAGATTAAAGATTTACGGACTGTAATAATCTTGTTTGGATCTGGCAGGTTTTTTGTAATCCGCGTGGTTTTTTGTTCCTTGGGAGATTCCTTCCTTCCTTCTCTACGGAGGCTGCCAATGGCATCCCGCCTGCCATTTTTTGCCTCTGACTCTTTTTTTTGGCCCTTGGACTCTCTAAAAGTTGATATTCTTTCACCAATCAAAAAAAAGGAAGGGATTTGGGAGCTCTGACCTCAGGCACAAGTCTCTCTTTCTCCCTTCTCCCATCCGAAAGCGATAACAATCGATGTTATGTTCATGGTGATTCTTCTCTTCCTTCCCCTCCTCTTCATCTTCTTCTTCTTCTTTTTTTTTTAAATGACTCCTTTGTGTGCAATTTTATTCTTAATAAAGAGGATGGTAACATCTGACTACAAGTCATTTCATTTATTAAAAAGCCAAATGGAACCGCCTGTCAACTCATAAAACATTCCTATGCCTGTTTTAGTAGTTGCCATAAAAAACGGGGGGGGGGGGGGGGAAGGAAATCTGGAAGAGCAGTTGAAAGCGAAAGTACATTCCAACTCTTATCTTTAAAAGATTGTAACTAAAATACCAGAGTTTTTGCCCACTAATATATTTAATTGGAGAACGTGAATGATGACACCCAGCCTGTGAACTGCTCAATGGGAGAATCTGGTTTATGAGACACCCAAGGGGGAAACAGGGTCACAGGTGACTGTAAATTATGTATGCCAGAGTTGGCTTCATACAGGGCGGTGCCAGTATGTCGCCTCTAATGAATCCTTTGAAAGTTTTTGAAGTTTGGCTCGAGAATCATGATTTGATTAGGGCGATTGCTGGAATCCTGACACCACCATCCTCACACGCACCAGGAATTAAAGGGTGGGAAAATGGAGTCTCGGAGGTTCCTGAAACGTTCGAGCCCTTCCCCTCCCCCTCTCATTTTCAGCTGAGCTTAATTTTTATAATTTTGGGTAACTTGTGCCCTGTTCTTGCCTTTGAGACCGATTGGTTTTCAACTTGACAATATGAGACTGTTGCCAAGCGTCTGAATTTAGGTCACGTGACCATAGGGGATGCTGCAAGGGTCATAAGTGTGAAAAACGGTCCTAAGTCACTTTTGTCAGGGCTGTTGTAACTTTGAACAGTCACTAAATGAATGGTTGTAAATCAAGGACTACTTGTGGAAGTTCAAAAATGTCTCAGATGTTGCCATGTTTTTTTTTTAAATGTTCTTTTGAATAGGCAGTTGGCTCCCTCAGCTAAACCCGAGTGCCAGAATTTAAATAAGCATTAATTTTTGCCAAGAACGTGGGTGAAAGGTATTGATGTTAAGAACAGGTGCCAGCTTTTCCAAATATCTTGGGGAAGGGAAGGGAAGGAAAGAGTTGGGATCTTGGAGGTCTTCTAGTCCAACCCTCTGCTTAGGCAGGAAACCCTGCACCACTTCAGACAACATCTTTTTAAAAACTTCCAGTGTTGGAGGATTCACAACTTCTGGAGGCAAGATGTCCCTCAGGAAATTCCTCCTTAGTTCTAAGTTGCTTCTCTCCTTGATTAGTTTCCATCCATTATTTCTTGTCCTGCCTTCAGGTGCTTTGGAGAGTACCTTAACTTCCTCTTCTTTGTGGCAGCCCCTTAAGATATTGGAAGGCTGCTATCCTGTCACCCCAGTCCCTCTTTTCATTACATTAGACATACCCAATTCCAGCAAATGTTCTTTATTATATGTTTTAGCCTCCAGCCCCCTAATCATCTTTGTTGCTTTTTGCTTACCTAAACTGAAGAGTAGTAAGAAATGTGCTAAGAAGCCTTAACTGTTACCCTCCCTCCAATTGCTGACGCCCCATCCCAAGTTGAAAAAACAGAGAAGACAATGGTTAACATGTCATGAGTTCATCACACAGCCAAGTGTGGAGAAACTATTCCAAGGGTTATTTATATAATCAGGAAGCTGGCCAAAGGTAGTTCATTATATGGAAACAAACTGGTACTACAACTTCCTGCTTTGGTCATTTCCCCTGTCAAGGAGAAATATGTGGTTTGTTTGTCTAATGTTAGATGCACACAATGTCCTACGCAACCTTCCAGGGGAGAGGTTCATTCCAACAGGAGATCAGTGAGGTTTGTAAATTATGAAGCAACAATGAATTGCAAGATTGGGACGTACATCTGGCATCCAAGGGAAGGATAGAGGTGTAATTTGACATCCAAGGGAAGGACAGAAGTATAATTTGGACAGGATCTGAAAAGAGCCATCTAAGCAAGAGGAATTTTTCCAGGATATGGAAAAGTAACGAAGGAGTAAATTAAGGGAATGTGACTTTGACAGAATAACACAGTTGGAAGGGACTTTGGAGGTCTTCTAGTCCAACTCCCTGCACAAGCAGGAAACCTTGTACCATTCTAGACAAATGGTTGGCCAATCTCTTCTTAAAAACTTCCAGTGTCATCCCACTGATTAATTGTTCTCACTGCCAGTAAATTTCTTAGTTCAAGGTTGCTTCTCTCCTTTCAATCTTTTGCTTCTTATCCTGCCTTAAGGTGATTTAATCAGGATGGCAGAGTCTTTCAGTGACTGTTCTCATTGCAATGCATTTAAGCAGGCCAGGTAAAGACCTAGCTGATGCATTTGCACAACATGTTAAACTTGATTAGTTTTTAGCAGCGATCATTTGGGAGGGGGAAATTGTTAGTCAACGAAGTGATGATTCCATGTGTTGTCTGAACCCATAAAACCTCTTAATCCAATATCTGAATTCAGTTGATTGAATCAATACAGTACAGTCAATGAATAGCTTTAGAGTAGAGCAAGGATGTACAGCCTTGGCAACTTTAAGACTTGTGGACTTTTGCTTAAATTAATCTGCAGCTCACAGTTGCAGTGTAGGACTTTGGATTGGTGGGTTTCAAATTTCTTAACAACTGGTTCTGTGGGTGTGGCCTAATTTGTGGGTGTGGCTTGGTGGTCATGTGACCAGCTGGGCATGGATTGTATGTAAATATTATAAATATTTATGTAAATATTGAATTTTATAAAAAAAGAGAGCAATTTTTACCCAAAATCAGGCAAAGCAGGCAGGCAGATTGAGTTGTTCACAGAATCACTTGGAGATCTATCTATCTGCCATCGGCTTCCTAAGTCTGTCATATAAAATTTGCTTGCAAGCAAACTCACAAAATTAACTCACAACACACCATGTATGCAAAATCTTACAGTAGTGATTGCAAACATAGCATTGAATCCTTGCCTATTTTTATGTGTGATGTCAAAGATATCTACAGGATACAGTCCGAAATGCCAAAATGGCACCCACTATGGCAGGGGCATTAAACTCGAGGCCTGTGGGACAGATCTGGCCCACAGGGTGCTTCGATCTGGCCCATGGGGCCACCCTGGATTCAGTGAAGAACTGGCCCGTGGTGCCTTTGCCAGCAAAAATGGAGCTCAGGGGTGTCTGCAGCCTCCCCAACCTCCATTTTAGGCTGAGACAGCCTCCTGCAGCCCTCTGCCAGCGAAAACTGGCCCTCCCAAGCTCCATTTTCAGCTGTGATAGCCTCCTGCAGCCCTCTGCCAGTGAAAGTGGAGTGCGGCCCACCCCGAGCTCCGTTTTTGATTGCAGAGGGCTGCGGGAGGCCATCGTGACACAAGTGAGGATGAGATGGCCACGCCCACTTGCCCCCCCTCCCATGTCAAACACAACCGTGATGCGGCCCTCATTGAAATCGAGTTTTGACACCCCTGCACAACGGTGTGGTCAAAGGCCTGCCTGTGCAACATACATGCCAAACAGAAAAAGCTTTGATCCCATCATAGTAGCCAAGATTTTGCCTTTTTGGCCATAACCTTCTGGACAGCCCTGTGTGGGATGCAGTGTGTAAAAAAAACAGCCAGACTTTCAATCATAGCATTGCAACCACCGATACAACATCTTTTAAACTCTTCCTCTCCCTCCGAAGTTCCTCCTGAGTCCCCATCCAATCCATGCGTACAGTACAGGAAGTCCTGGACTTATGGCTAGAACTTTCATTGTTAAGCAAAGCAGTTGTTAAGCGGTTTGCACCTGATTTTACATTCACTTTTGCCACGGTTCTTAAGTGAATCATGCTGTCAGTGCTCCAACAAATCCACCCCCATTCAAATCATAAGTCTCTACTCCCTTTCTGCTGGCAACTAAAAAGACCAAAGGAGTATTTTTTTAGTCGACACATGTGGTAATTTGCAGTGGTGGGCTGCTGCTGGTTGAGTTCTGACAATCAGCTCGCCCCAGCACCTGTCCCGCCCTATCCTGCCCTATATTTACATCTTTTTCACCTCAGCTGATTCGCGTGACACAGTGGATTACCGTGCGTCAGCTGTTCTACTTACTGGGGCCGCCCTGTACAGGTTGAATTTGGTGTTTTTTGAATGCTGTGCGCGCTTACAGAACCAGTTCTTAAATCGGTTACATCCCACCACCGGGTAGTTGAGAGAGTCTTGGCTTTCCCCTTTTGACCCTGCATGTTGGAAGCCACCTGGGAAGGCCCTAAATGACCTTTGCATGAACCCAGGACACTGCAATCATCTAGAATACAGGGAGTCCTCGACTTACGGCCACAATTGTGCCCCAATTTTCTGTTGTTTGGTGAGACATTTGTCAAGTGAGTTTTGGTCCACGTTATGACCTGTCTTGCCACAGTTGTTAAGTGAATCTGGCATCATCTCCGTTGACTTTGCTTGTCAGAAGGTGGCAAAAGTGACACAGCAACGGTCATAAGTGTGAACCCATTTTACTGCAGAAAAAACAATGGCTGCTAACCTGCCTTCCATCGAGGACCCGTATACTGCACGAGACAAAAAGAGGGCTGTGAAAATATTTACAGACCCCTCACATCCTGGACATAAACTGTTTCAACTCCTTCCCTCAAAATGATGCTACAGAGCACTGCACACCAGAACAACTAGACACAAGGACAGTTTTTCCCCGAAAGCCATTACTCTGCTAAACAAATAATTCCCTCAACACTGTTCAACTATTACAAAGTCTGCACTACTATTACGATTAACCTTCTCATCACTTCTTATCATCCATCCCCTCCCACTTGTGACTGTATGACTGTAACTTTGTCGCTTGTATCCTTACGATTTATACTTTTCCTAGTATGATTTGATTGCTTATTGTACCCTATGACTATTATTAAGTGTTGAACCTTATGATTCTCAACT